GGAACAGAAACTAATAGACCCCATAGATCTTCCTTGTCTGTTTGAATTAGTATCTCTCATTCTTCCGATAAGCAGTCGAAGGGAACGAATAATAATTCTTTACCCACATATGCTCAACACCTCCCGGCTGAAAAATTACAAAGACAAAACTAGTAAATATTTTTACAACATATTTCTCTATGATAAAAAATAATAATTAAAAAAAGAGATCAATATGTTACCCTTTTCAGTTTATGCACCGGTCATTCCTCTGCAGTGCCCATAGCAATAGATTTACCTTTTTCATTCTGCACAGTGAAATAAGACAGGAGATCAATATGATGTGATTGTAGATTGATCAAATGACGAGTCTTGTAGTTTGACAGCAGTACAATGAGTAATAAAGTCAATGTGTTACCGAATGTTTTGAACTTGCATATGAGACAAGTCTTCAACTAAATATGATATTGAGATGTTAGACATGTTTGTTATTAATTGACATATGATTACCAATTTACCATAAGGATAAGTACAAATGGGAGTAAACCTTGATGGATCCAGTAGTTAACAACGTGTTCGTCAGACTTTGTTCACAGTGCAAAAATAACATACTTTCATAAGTTAAATACTTTCATAACATATTTCGCTATGATAAAAGAAGAGGAAGAGATATATGACAAACAACCTCGGATGCCTTGGTTGAGGGAGCATTACGAACATGAACCAACATTTCCTTTTCAGTATTAATAGCTTTATCCTGTTCTTTCTGCACACCAAAATAAGACAATATAAGTTGTAAGCATATTTTTTGAAAATTAGTTTTCACATTATACATTCGCAATTTATTGTATAATATTGATTTTTAATATTAAACCATCTTAAATAGAAATGACAATAGAGGAAAACCTACAAGATTTAGAGCCATGAGTAATAAATGAAATCGGCAATGAGACTTCCAAAGGAATTTTACGACCACACAATCCTAGTCGAGGTAGGGCAAAAGCTTGGTAAGTTAATATAGACAGTAGAAAATAGCAGAAGAAAAGTATAATTCGGGAAGCCTTTTGCTAGTCCCAAATCATTAAACTAGAAAACATAACTTGTTTATGGAAGAATACTCTTTTATTTGAGATATGGTTACAAATTTACCATAAGGATAAGTATAAATGGGAGTAAATCTTGATGGATCCAGTAGTTAACAACATGTTCTTTCGACTTTGATCATCGTGTGTCTAGAGATTACTGATAAATCCCTCACTAATGGAAAGGTTGAAATGGCATACTTTCAGAAGATTAAATACTTTCATAACATATTTCTCTATGATAAAAAAAAAGAGAGGAAGAGATATATGAAAAACAACCTCGGATGCCTTAGTTGAGGGAGCATTACGAAGATGAACCGGTATTTCCTCTTCAATGCTAATAGCTTTATCCTGTTCTTTCTACACAGTGAAATAAGACAATATAAGTAGTAAGCATATTTTATGAAAATTAGTTTTCAAAACATTCGCAAGTTATTACATAATTTTGATTTTCAATATTAAACTATCTTAAATAGAAATGATAGTGGAGGAAAACCAACAAGATTTAGAGCCATGAGTAATAAATGAAATCTGCAATGATGATTAGACTTCGAGAGCTACAAATTGAATTTTACGACCACACAATCCTAGCCGAGGTAGGGGGAAAACTTGGTAGGTTATTAAAGACAGTAGAGAATAGCAGAAGAAAAGTACAATTCGGGAAGCCTTTTGTTAGCCCCAAATCGTTAACCTAGAAAACATAACTTGCTTATGAAAGAAGACACTTTTATTTGAGTTGTTCTTT